TGGCTCAGGTTATCCTGAGCTATCTCTATAGTTATGCTGCTATAGGCTTAGACTGCTGGAGGACATAGGGACCCCTTTTTCATCATTCCAGTTCATTCTATCTATATTCTGCAATATCTGTTAGTTCAATCTCTTCGATCTTTTTCTCATCATAGTAGCTTCATCTGGTCTGTTCCTGTTTGGCTGTGACATCATACTGGATAGAAATATCAGCTGTGCTGCTGTCATCAAAACCTTTGCTTATAGATATTGGAGCTTGACCTGTTTTCCAGTGTAGTCCTGTTTCTCTACCTGTGACTAACTGGATGTGCTCTCTTCATCCTATGACATGGGAGCTGGCTGTGTTTTTCCTGGATGGGGCCGCTTGTGGAGCTGGTTAACAGTTGCTTTTTGTATCTCTGCTTCTTTTTCTATGTCTGCTTCTGTCTCATTGAACCCCAGTCGCCCTCAGCAGATGGCCGCTCACACTGAGCCTGCTTATCCCTGTTCAAAGGGAGTTTTCCTCTCCACTGTCGCTACAAGCGTGCTTAGTGTGAGGGATTGCCTTCAAATCAATGAGTCAATAAAATCAGCTGGTTTTCCTTAGATAGAAAACCAATTTGAACCAATCTGACTGGACGATCTGGTGAATTGTCTCTGTAAAGTGCCTTCAGATGACGTGTTGTGGATCGGTGCTATACTTTATAAACTGAACTGAACTCATTAAAAAGAAAACAGCAACAAAATATAAAGAACAAACTTGAAAAACCTGATAAGACAAAAGGAAACCCAAGTAAACATTTTTTCTTCTATTTTATTTTATGTAATTTTGACCGTGTATTATTTCTGTTCACTCTATTTATAAACAAATGAGGTAAATGTCAATAAAAAGTTCAATGCTAAAAAAAAGGTTTTCCTTCTAACCTTTCTATTGGAAAACTGTGTTTGATCAGAGCTTGAACATCACGGTGCTGTTGCCTAGCAATACCACTAACTGGCCATAGATGTTGGTTTTATAGATCAGATCCTCTGGAGTCTACATGCCAAATACACGACTTAAATCAGCTTTTATTTCCCCAAACAAAACAAAACCTCAGCAGGAAAAACGAAATAAAGAACAATCGGGTTCAACAGGTGGACTTGGAACTGGCTGTTGATCATCGCAGGATTCACAGCAGGTCTGAACGTAGAAACAAAGACATCAAATCAAAGAAAAGTCTACAGTAATCATGAGCTGAAGGACTAACGGAGTCCCACTAAGACCAGTTTGCTGAAGACAAACCAGCACACCCAGTACTGGACAGACACCTGCAGACGTCACGCTCTGCTCCAGCTCTTCAGCTGACAGGAGGAATGTGTTCCTGAGAGCGTCCAGATGACGCTCACGGCTCCCCCACCATAACCGAGCGCCTCACACCAGCTCCAGTGACACATCCCCTTTGGCCTCTTTTGTTTCCCAGACAGCTCCTAATAGGATCCTGTCATCCAGCCTTCCTGGAACACGCAGAGACTCGCGTCACAGAGAGCCTGCCACCGTGGCACCACCTCTTCATCACAACAGGCATCTGCAGGCCCAAAAGCTTCCTCATTAAGCTCTTTATCCATCTGATACTTTCACTGTTATTGTTGTGAATCATCCTTTGATGATAGAAAGATCCAAACATCCAGATCACAAACATGTCTGCACTCAAAATGTGTTAAATGTCCCAATACCTTCTGCTCTCTATTAATAAATCCATTCATTTAATCAGCTCCCCTCAGCTTGGAGGTATCTCCATATAAACAGATCTCTTACCTGGAAGCTGGAGTTCAGTTTGAACTCAAACATTAATGACTTCAACATGCTGATTATCTGCTCTAAAAACACAGCAGTAAGTTATGAATAACTGGATGAAGTCACGAGGTGAGTGTTTCAGTAGGTTAATGAGGTCACAGACTGAAACACCTCCTGGATGGATGCAGGGATCGTCTCCTAGGCAATACTAGGAAGTTGCCTAGGGCCCCTTAACACTTTGTTTACATGTATGGTTAATAAAACTATTCCTTATTTTTGCACATTAATTATGTTTTTGATAAAAACCCTTTTGCTAAAATGCCATCAGAACGCTTAGAATATTAAGTCTGTTGCAGCCCCGACCTTCAGTGTCCACCATATTGGATCAGTCCATTTGCTGCACATGTTCATAAAGGTCCAAACAGACAGCAGCATGCAAAGAGCAGTGTTGCTAACTTAGCACTTTAGTCGCTATATTTAGCAACTTTTCAGACCCCTCTAGCACTTTGATTTCAAAAAAGGCCTAGCGCCAAATCTAGCGACTTTTTCCTGCTACTGGAGACTTTGGAGACAACATCTAAAAGCAGCGAACTCTGCTCTCCAGAGCGAGTAGATTGGTAACCCCGCCTCCTGCTCTCCTCTATCTTGTCTGCTGTCATGATTCATGCAGCTATTATTTCATCCAAATGAAAAATGGAGAACAGAGAAGCAGATCATGGCTTGTCTACAGTGAAAAGAAGGACTGGGTTATTTACTTTGGCCTTTTTGGAAACACAGGAAGGAGCAATCAGCTAAGTGAGCTTAGTGCTTGGAAAAAAAACTTCCATTCCTTTAGAGACAGCATGAAAAGTCCGCTGAGTACAAAACATAGAGAGGAAAACAAGAAGAAAAGGGACAAAATGTAGAACAAATAATGGATGTCTATTCTATTAACATTTCTCTATCTGTAGAATGGATCTATTTTATGTGTTGTCTTCTCAGCTCATAGGGCCCCCTGCCTGTCTTTGCCTAGGGCCCAACATTTCCTAAATCCGCCCCTGTCTCCACTGCTCCTCAGCTGGATGTGAGGAACAGCACCTGCTCCGCTCAATGCAACAGTCATAATTATAATAATAATCATAATAATAATGATAAATATAATTATAATTGAAGCTTTGGAGGAAAGCTACGTTTTCAGGCTTCTAGCAATAAGATCTAAACTAAACTCTGTGTTCTCTGAGGCTCTGTGTTGAACAGCTGGAGGAAGCAGGCAGCAGCAGATAGCAGGGAAATAATGGAGCCCTATCAGTAACGGTCAGCAGCAGCAGCCTTTCGGCAGGAACCAGCTCCGCTCTCATTTCCTTACCTGTCAGGCAGGAGCTGAGGACCAACAGGGCCGCAAACACCGCAGCCCGGCCGAGCAGCGGGCTCCGCATCCTGGCCTCAGCTCCGGCGGAGCGCGGAGACCGAGCGGAGGAGGAGGAAAAGGACGAGAGAGAGGAGGCAGATGCTGCGGAGAGGAGTCGGTCCGGATCATCCCTCCATCCCCTGGTTCCTGAGGGAGGAGAGAAGCTCTGACAAACCGGGGAACCAGCAGCAGAAGCGAGGAGGGTGTTGTGGACTTGGAGGGTCGGATCGTGTTGACTCCGTTTGGCTGAGGACAGACTAGGAGCTGAAGCGTGTGACGTAATGACGTTGCTGCGTCCTCCGCTGCTTCAGGTGCAGCTGCCGCGTGCGCGAGTTCTATTACTGGCCACTGAGCCGGGAGGTGATTAGTGGGATCCATCTGTTAAAGGTAAACTGGAGCAGGCTGTAACTGGATCACTGGTTCCGCTTCTTATGGACTGAATGAAAAACAGTGAGGTTACCAGACTGTCCCCTCTGTGTCTCCAACCCCAGTTCATGGACAAGATTCACTGGATGATGGATGGATGGATGGATGGATGGATGGATGATGGATGGATGGATGATGGATGGATGATGGATGGATGGATGGATGATGGATGGATGATGGATGGATGGATGATGGATGGATGATGGATGGATGGATGGATGATGGATGGATGGATGATGGATGGATGATGGATGGATGATGGATGATGGATGGATGATGGAT